AAATTTGGCAGTTTTGAAATTTTAGATGCGTCAGGATATAGAAGTAGAGCCAAAATTTTTCTTTAAAATAAAATTCCAAAATTGGTAATATTCCCTGGGTTTATTTTTTAAAAATCATTTTCATGATTATATAAGTATAAATGCTTGTAGGAAAATTGAAAATTAAAGGAAAATATGAAAAAAACAGAAAGAATTCAATGGTCAGGCTACCACTGTTAATGTTTTTGGCACATTTCCTTCTAGTCTTTTTCTATGCATATTTTTTTACACAATTAAGATAATTTATTTTGGATTTTGCCCCCCCCACCCCCACCCAAGCCATTTCTCTATGCAGTTAAGAACTCTGCATAAACATTTTTAATGGTTTTATAGTATTCCACCATATAGATGTAGCATAAACTTTTTAGCTATTTCTCTGATGCTAGATAATGAAGCTTCAGTACATTTTTCACCTGTATAAATACCGCTCTGGTGAACACTTTTGTGCATAAATCTTGTTCGTATTCCTGATCATTTCCTTAGGGTAGATACATAGAAATGGAATTACCTGTCGATCTCATCTCCGTCTACTGCGCTGTCTCTTCTCTATCATAGCCAGCCTCTTTAGAAAGTTGTCTCTATGCACTGGCTCCGTTTCCTACCTAAAACCTGGCTTTAAAGTCTTCAGTGGTTTTGGTATTTATTATGGGATAGACACTAAAATCCTTGCCGTAGCCTTCAAGGCCCAACGTGGACCCACCTGTCTACCTGCCTCTCCAGCCTTTTCCCCTCTCTTTCTGGCCTCAGCTGCACTGGTTTTTTGATTAATTGGCTCCTTCCCCTTTCTCCAGCCACAGGGCCTTCAAACCTGCATATCCTCTCTCTGGAACAGTCTCCCTCCTCAGCCATCTGTCCTTTGTGGCGTGGGAGTTGAGATATTTGCTTAGAGGAGGTGGTTGGAGGTTTGAGGAGAAGTGAAGGTATCAAAGTTCATTTAGGAGAGAAAGAGAGGAATTGACCAGAGAAGTACACAGAGGATTTCCAGGTAGCAGTGAGGGCCACTTTCATGGTGTATTCAGAGTAGGAATATGAGATTCACATCAAGGGAAATGGTATTGTTATCAAGGGCTATGAGCACCTTTAGCCTCTGGAGAAAAGAGCTTGCTTGAACCCAGTCTGCCTGGGGAGTTCCGTAGCTGCTTCCTATGGTTTGTTTTCTTCAGTCTTCCGGAAGTGTCCTGTTTCCTCTTTGCTAATTCAGTTTTTATGGATGACAGCACATTTTGTCATTAGAATGAGTGGAGGACTTCCCAAATAACTACTTCTGGGATCATTGGAAGCCTTAATGTGAAAATCTTCATTTCTGGGTTTACTGGGAAGTTGTAATGTTGCCTGTCCAATAGGATTCCTACTACTCACGTGTGGCTATTTAAATTTAAATTAATTAAAGTTTTTAATAAAATTAAAAATTCAGTTCCTTAATCACACTAACTACACTTCAATAACCTCCTAAGGCTAGTGGCCACCATATTGGACAGTGGAGATAGAACATTTCCATCATTATAGAAAGTTCTTTTGGACAGCACTGATCTAGAGAGCAGAAAAGAAACCAGCTAAGTCATCTCTGAGGCTAGTCAGTGTGTAGAATGGTGATCTAGGAAAAATAAATGGACAACTCGCTTTGGCTAGTTTGCTACTGGTTGTGATACACAGTTTGCTGGTTTATCTAGCATTTTAAAAAAATAGACATTAAAATTTTGCTCCCTTCTGGCATTCCCAATCATTCATAAAATTCAGTGGAAAAGCCAGCCTCCCTGGGCCCACATACCCCTGGGCTTCTGTTGCCTACATCTTCGTCATGCTTATGTGACCTAGATGACTTGCTGACCAAACAGATGTCCTGGCTGAAGAATAGGTACTTGTCAAAAACTCTGTAGGTTTTATTTATTTTCTGCAGATACGTCTCATAAGACCAATGGATTCCTACTATTTTTAAGGATCAAATAAAGTAAGGTTCTGCTCATAGATGAGACACTAGCACTTTTGAAATGGCTCCACAATGAGGGAGGAAGGGAAGTCGTATTACGTATGAGAGGCTTATAAACATAGGTAAATGCATCCTTTCTCCATATTATCTTCTTCTGGGTCTGTTTCACTGTATTTGGCCCAGCCAGCAAGTCTTCCCACACCCAAATTCTAGGAACTCTCTATAAAGGCATTTTATCTTATAATTATTCTAGGTCTTTCTTACACATACAGAGTCTTTGTTTATTTCTCTCTACCCCCGAAATCTAAAAATAATACAGTTTTTGTGAAAATGGGAAATGGTAAGGGGGAGAAAGAACTGGAGTCTCTTTATTGTCCTGCCTTTTCTTTCTCACGGAGGAGGTGGGGGATATTCTCCTGAGCTGGGAGGGAATTATTTTCAGCATTATGGGCTTCCTTACTTCTCTGTACCCTGGGGAGGGGCCTGCCATAAGCAATGCAGGAATGAACTCTGACAGCCCAGGTGTGCGTGTACAGACTAATCTGGAGTAGCCTCGATGTAGACGCAGCAGTATGGTCCCTCACAAAGATGCTTCTAAATATAGAATATTGCTGACTCTGTGATTTAATAACTGCTCCAGTTATGAGTGATGTGAGTTAGTTTTGATTGGCTTGCTTAACAGAAATTTTGAGATGCTGCTCTATTTGAACAGTCAAAACCTAAATAAAATATCATATACTCATGTAGCCTCTACAGTTTGCAAAATATGTTCTCAAGCATCATTTCATTTGATACTCAGGATAAACCTGTGGGCTGGGGCAAAACATTTGCAGAAGAGAAAGCCTAGGCTCAGAGAGGTAAAGTGACTTGCTCGAGGTCACACAGCTAGTAAGTGGTGGGGTTGAGTTTCGAATCCCAGTTGCTTTTCTGAGAACATTGCTTTACTTCTTGTTTATATTTTGGACTAATAAAATAAAACACATTTAAGTTGGAATAATTGGTAACACAAATATGATAGTTGGTTCAATAGATAATGTTTGTTGAGCGCCTATAGTAGGGAGTAGAGAAAGGGGCTACTGTAGTTGGCGGCATGGGTCCTGCCCTCAGGGAGCTTTATTTGAAACAGCTGAAGCAGTACATTTACAAACAGCAAATGCATGTTATCCTGGAACAAACTGGATGCATTAATGCTTATGGATGCTGAGACAATGAGAGAGTCCATTATGAAGGCTTCCTGAAAGAAAGGGATTTTGGATCAGATCCTGAAGGATATGGGCAAAGACGAAGGGAAGGACATTCTAGCCAGCTGCAGAGGCATGGTGGTGAGAAAGAATTGTAGAGAGTCACCTTCGGTTTGGTGGAGTAGTAAGAAAGAAGAAAAGAGCACTTGTTCATCATTTATTGAAAATCTACCCTGCAGAAGGCATTGTGTAGAGCTGGGTTTACAGCGGTGTGCAAAAGAGACACGGGCCCTGCCTTCAAATTGCTTAAACTTGGGAGGGAGACTAAGTATTGATTGTTGGTAGTAAAATAATTACACAAATATGTCAGATCGTGATTGTTACTATAAAGGAAAAGGATAGGATTCTATGAGAGTGTATAGTACAGCGACATAAATTAGACTGACATTTGAGCTGGTTTGTGAAGGAGCAGAAGTTAACTAGGCAAATGGTTTTGGTGTAGGGAACAGGGAAAGGAGTCCTCAGAAAACAGGGTACAGCATGTGCAAAGGCCCTAGGAGTATTGGAGGAATTAGAAAAAGCCCTGTGTGCTGGAGCTGAGGGAGTGGAGGAGTGAGTGGCGTGAGATGAGGCTGTGGAGGGGGCATGAGCTTGATCAGATTTTGATCTTTATTCCAAGAGCCATGCAAAACCTCTGAAGGATTTTAAGCAGAGATGACATGATTGACATGATCATATCTTCCTTTTAGAAAGATCACTTTGGCTTCAATGTGGAGAATATTTTGGAGGGGGAATAATAGTGATTATGGAGTAACCCTTTAGAAGGCTACTGCAGTGATCCAGGCTAGAGATGATGGTGGCTTGGGACAGGGTGGTGGTAGTGGAGATGGAGAGAAGCGGATAGTTTCCATAGAGATTTTAGAGATCAGATCTACAGTGGAATTTGGTGGTATGTTAGGTAATGGAGAAGCAGATGGTAGGGATAGTTCCTGAGTTCTGGATACTCCAGTGGGATGAATAGTGGAGCTGGCCAATGAGATAGGGAACCTTGGAAAGGGACCCAGTTTGGGGAAGAAGATGATGAAATCAGCTTTGGATATCAGGTAGATAGTTGGATCTATGGATTGGGAGCTCAGGAGAGAACTGAGCTGGAATAAATATGTAGGTCCTTGGCATATAAGTGACCAATGAGCGTGAATGAGTTTTCCCAGAGAGAAGAGAGCATTAAATGAGGAAAGAAGGATCAAGCAGTGAGGATGCTCCATGGTCAGGTAGACGAGAACAAGGTAGCCCAGGAGCAGCTGGAGAGGTGGGAGGAAAACCAAGAGGTGCTTGAGTGTTACATCATTGAGGTAGAGTAAAAATATATAAAAAAGGAAGAGTATCTTTCAGTTTATCTCTAGACCCATTTCCCCATCATCACCCCAAAATCTATTAGGTGGCATCCATGCATCTCTAGATCCGAGGCGCTTCTGTAGTGCACTGTTACAGGTATATTTATTTATTTTTGTATTATTGTGACAGATTGCAGTGTGTGTGTGTTTTCTGTCTGGAACAATAACCTCCTTTCCTTTCTCCTACGTCATTGCACTTTTGGCTGCCACTGCAGTTTGTTGCAATTCTGAGCTCGTTTAATCCCAGACTACTAAACAGTATCTGGTCCCGGTGGCTCTGTAATTCTACTCCAGGCGCCCCACCTTCATTTGCCAGCTGGGATCTCTTAATGAGCTAGCTGCACACAGCTCAATACTAAAACTATTTTAGCTGGTGAAATATGTTTGAGGAACTCACTGTTGGAATGTTTCACATTAGGCCTGCTCCCATTCTGTCTCTGGCATTCTCTCTCTTTTCAGGATGGCTGTAGCTCCTCCAAGTTACTGTTTTGTGGCCTTCCCACCACGTGCTAAGGACAGTCTGGTGGTATTTGGGAAAAATTCAGCTCGACCCAGGGATGAAGTACAAGAGGTTGTGTATTTCTCGGCTGCCGATCATGACCCCGAGAGCAAGGTTGAGGTAAGTCGTGCGTTACAGTCTCTCAGCACTTATTCTCTTTCTCTGGCTTTGCCCAGCCCATCTTAACTTCATTCATGGACGTCTGCTCACTAGTCGGAATTGTCATGTTGGTTCTGTTGATTCCTGTTTCCATTCAGGTTTGTTCATAGCCTTAAAAACAGAATCACATGGAGAATTCTATGTTCTTTGCTATGGCCCTTGTTTTATAATTAAGTAAAATATTTCCATGGTTCCAAAGTCAAATCTACAAAATCAGGTATATATGTAGAAGTCTAACTTCTATCTTTGTCTCATTTACCCTATTTCCTTTTTCTCCTATAGGTAACTGTGTTTTGGAAGTTTGGTTTATCCTTCCATTTAAAAAATTGCATGTATATGTAATAAACTATTACATAGTTTATTATGTAATAATAAACTATTATTTCACACACACATGCATATGCATATTCATCCCAGTCCCTTTCCTCCTTTCTTAGATGAATGGTGGCATGCCGTATACACTTTTCTCCACTTTGCTTTTTTCTACTAAACCCATATCTTGGAGATCACTTCATTTGGTATAGAGAGATTCTCCATTCCTCATTTAGAGCTGCATAGTATTTCTTCTGTGGATGTATCATAGTTTAATCAGGCCCGTATTGCTGGACATTTGGGTTGTTTTCCACTCATTTGCTATTGTACGTAGTGCTGAAGTGAATGATAGCCTTGTGCATCTGTCATAGTATCTGGTTTTTGGTTTGTATATTTTTATCATGTTAAAAAATTATCCATCAATTCCTATTTTGAGTGCTTAGAAAAACTGTTTTTATCAGTATTTCTTTGGGATAGGTCCCTAGAAATGGGATTTCTGGGTCACAGGGTAAATAAGTATGTAATTTTGTTAGAATATTGTCAAATTTCCTTCTGTGGGTAGTGTACCATTTTGTATTCCCATGGGCAGTATATGACAATGCCTGTTTCTCCATATTCCTGAAGTGTGTTATCAAACTTTCATGGTGGCTATTTTATGTTAATTTTACATTCTGCTAGTTTACTAAATTTTTTTATTTCGTGTCAGTTTTTATCATTGATTCTCTTGGGTTTTCTAGGCATATTGTTATAATTCCTGCAAATAGAGATAGTTTGATTGTTCTTATATGTCTAATTATTTTCTTGTCTGATTGGCTTATAGCTTGGATTCAATGTTAATAGTAGTGGAGATAGTGGGTATCTTTGCCTTTGCTTTTGACCTGAGTGAGGCAGCCTCTAGTGCTTCCCCATTATGTAAGATGCTGGCTTTGGGACTGAGATTTATGTAGTTTTTTCATGTTAAAAAGTATACATCAATTCCTATTTTGAGTGCTTTAACAAAAAAAACCCTCAGGATAGGTGTTAAATTTTCTTAAAGGCCTTTTCAGTGATTATGGAAGTAATCATCTGATTTTTTCTTTTATTTATGTGATAAATTGAACCATCTTTGCATTCATGGAATAAACTTCTTGGTTATGGTCTATTTATTTGTGTGTGTGTGTGTGTGTGTGTGTGTGTTGTGTGTGTGTTTAAATGGTAGTTGTTTGTTAAAGGATTTGGAGAAAAAAATTGAGGGCTGGTAAATTAGCTATTTTCACTAACATAACCTCTACTCTTTGGTGTTCTATGCTTTACAAAATAAGCTGATTTTTCTGATGTTTATGCTAGGTTTTAAATGGTTATTCATCAATGTGTATTTTATATTCTTATCTAAATCTTTATCTGTTTCAATCCTTTAAAAGCACAAATCAGCACCAAAGAGCAACAGAACTCCATAAGGAGCTGCTAGATGTTAGATGAATTTAACAGAGGCGTTGAAATGAACAGGCAGTGCTGAGCATGACTTGGCGTGGGCTGTCTGTGGATGGAGTGGTGGAAGACTGTCTCCCACAGGACTGTCACCAGAGCCACTTGCCTCTCATGTTGTGCCACTAACTTGGTCCGAGCCCCTAAACTTCAGTGGGACTTTGCTTTCATGTAGACAAAGAAGAGTGCTAGGTTCTCTGGTGATCATGCTAGGTTTTAAATGGATATTCATTAATGTTTGAATGTTCGTGTTATTTGGATCTGAATGTTTCTCTCTGTTCCTGGAACAGAGTGGACTCGGTGTGGATGAAGTTTGCTGGTTGGAGTTGTTACTGACCTTCTCTGTCTGTCTTCCCCAAATGTTTCTTTTTTCCCAGAGAGTTGTACAAACTGAAATAATACTTTGATTTTCATGTGGGTGGGTTTAATTTCCCAAAGATGACTGCACCACATTCCATCCCCCATGCATGTCTTACAATATGTTGGACACTCCTCCATGGAGGGGTGGATTTACGCCCTCCCCCCCTGCCATGCATCTTGGTGAGGGCTTGTGATGGCACTGACCAGTGGAGCATGGTGGAAGCGATGCTGTGTGACCTCCAGGGCTGGGTCATAAACGGATTCAGCTTCCACTTGTCTCTTTCTCTTTTGGGACTTTAGCCCTAAGAACCCAGGCACCATGCTGGGATGAACCCAAACTAGCCCACATACAGAGGCTATGGGGTGGGGCCCACATGGAGAATAACCAAGGTCCCCCAGCCGGCAACCAGTGAGTGAGTAACGTGTGAGTGAATGACTGATTTCAGGCCTCAGACACTGTGGAGTAGAGACACACCATCCCCGCTGTGCCCTGTACAAATGCCTGGCCCATTGAACTCATGAGCATAGTAAATGGTTGTTTACACCACTAAATTTTGGGGTCATTTGTTAGTAGCCACAGTGACTACAACATCACACAAAAGCCATTTATAAATATGTCTGAAGTAAATATTTTGAAAAATTTGTTTCCTTTTGAGGGGCATAGGCTACATAACTCAATATTTTACTCTCATGGTTATAATCATTTTAGGAAATAGACTAGGTTCCTTTCACTAATTATCTATCGTATATTAATACTCAAATACACTGTAGGTTACATTATGTCCCCTTGTATAAATAAGTGCAGCTTGGTACATGCCAGAATTAATCTTTCAGGCAGCCCTGACCTCTTTTCTGGATTGCATTCCTGTGTTTTGAGCTGCCTCTGCACATTTCCACATCCATATGCTGCAGGTACAATAACCTCACAGGTCAAAAACCAGATTCATTTTCCTCATCTCATTTGTTCCTTTTCCTCTAACAGCACAATCGTTTACCACATAGTTTAATCTAGAAACCAGAGGGAAATGCTGACCCTCATTTCCCTACTCATCCCTGGATGCCTGGGGACAGCTGTCACTAAGCCTTTTGCTTCCTCTTCCGTGTCCCCATCCCCTCCCCACTGGCCCGTCTCCCTTCTGCTATCATCTGCTTATTGGTGCCGGGTCCCTTTCTCCTGAATTCTTCTTTCTGCAGAGTCACCAGAATTTTCTTCCCAGAACACAGCTCTGTCACTGCCTTGTTTAAAAATCTTTGGTTGTGTTTATAGGATGAGAGCCCAGGCTGATTTGTATGCCATTCATAACTCTTCCTGACTGGCACCCTGCTCGCTTTTCCTTTCTTTTCTTTCTTTCAAATTAATAGTCTTAATTTTGTTAGAGCAGTTTTAGGTTTACAGAAAAATGAACGGAAAGTACAGAGTTTCCGTAGAACCCTTCACCACCCCTGCGCCCCCCGCCTCCCAGTTTTCCTTATTATTAATGTCTTGCATTAGTGTGGTACACTACTTGTTAGAATTCACGAGCCAGTGTTGATACCTTATTATCAACTAAAGTCCGCAGTTTACATTAGGATTCACTCTTTGTATTGTATATTCTGTGGGTTTTGGCAAATGTGTAAGGACAAGTATCCACATATAGCGTAGTTTTCCTGCCCTGAAAATCCTCTGTGCTCCACCTATTCATCTATCCCTTCCTCCAACCCCTGGCAACCACTGATCTTTCCTGTCTCCATAGTTTTGCCTTTTCTAGAATGCCATATAGTTGGAATCATACTGTACACAGCCTTTTCAGATTGCCTTCTTTCACTTAGTAATATGCATTTAAGGTTTATCCATGTCTTTTCAGGGCTCAACAGCTCATTTCTTTTAAGCACTGAGTAATATTCCATTGTGTGGATGTACCACAGCTGATTTTTCCATTCACCCCTTGAAGGACATCTTGGTTGCATTCAAGGTTTGGCAATTATGAATAAAGTTGCTATAAACATTTGTGTACAGGCTTTTGTATGGACATAAATTTTCAACTCATTTGGGTAAATATACCTTTTAATGTAATTTTACATTTTGGATAGGTAATATATTGATGTGGTTCAAAGATTAAGTAATATTAAAAAGATTGACAGTGAGAAATCTTACTCGCCCCTTATTCCTATCTACTCCAATTCCCATCTTACGTAATCCTTTCTATTAATTTCTTGCACACCCTTTGAATGTTTTATACAAATGCAAATAAATACAAATACTTAGCCTTTCTTTTCTTTCTCTAAATGCAATAAATATGAAAGTAGCACATTATATACACTATTCTGAAATTTGATGTTTTAAATATATAATTTCAAACTTACAGAAAAGGTCTACAATTTGCTTTTTTTGTTTAATGACATTTTCTAAAGAGTTTTCCATATCTATACATAGAGATTATCTTTTTTTTTTTTACAGCTATTAGTAGTCCATTGTGGAGATATTCCATAATTTATTTAATCAGTTCTCTATTGGTGGACGTTTAGACTGTTGGCTAGTCTAGAAAGTACAGCCATGAAGAACATTGGCCTTCTGTACATGTGCAGGTATAGCCATTGGATCTACTTCCAGATGCTGGATCACTGGGTCATAGGGTAAAGGTTTTGTAATAATTGACCTCCATAAAGCTTGTACAATTTCCTGCTTACTTTTCTATCGTCATTCTTAGTTTCCCTCTCCCAGCTTACACTGTAGGCCCCAGCTACATTCAGCTGCTCGTCATTTCTTGAACAAACAACGTGCTTACATTTCTCTGTGTTTTTGCTCTTTCTGTCCTTTGTTGAGAATGTCCTTCTTCTCCCCTCCT